AAAGAACATATTCTATATTTTCAATTTAGATATTTCTATAATCTATCTTCTCCCTATCTAAATTCTATCTTTCTCTTCTATTTCTCTTGGATTTTTCCTATGATCTTCCTTAAATAATTCCGATCTTTTCTTTCTGATAGATTAATATGAATGCTAGAGATATCAAATTTTCTCAAAGATATATATATTATAGACGCAAAAATATTAATCAGAATTAGGAAATCATTTTTTCATGAATCTTTAATAAAGGATCTTCAAGATTTAATTTTCTCTATATATATATATTAAAAAAAGAAAAATGAGAATATATTGAAGAATATTAGAAAAATATATTTGATGATTGAAATTCATTAGATTAAATTTTCTAATAAAATATATCCAAGATATTCTATTCGAATTATGCATAGATTTTATGATCTAGAAATAATTTTGAAAATCTATTTCCTTCATCTTTCAATATATATATATATATGAATTTCATAATATTTCTAGATTGATTATTATGATTTTGAGAAGATATAGAGAGGATATAGAGATAGAATTTAGAATGTCATTGATATTTTCATAAGAAAAATAGAAATATTTAATTATTCTAAGAAAAGATATCTTCAATTTTGTTCTCTTCATAATTTCTTCAATCATTCTAGAAAAATATTGATAAAAGAATAGAATTTGATATCAATTCTTATATATATCTGAATCAATATATAGAATCTATCTATTTTTTGATTTTCCCTGAAATATAATATATTTTAGAAATTCTCGTATGGTATACGATCTGCTAATAATAATATATCTCTGCCTCAGATCTTCCTCTGATTTTATCGTCTATCTAGAAGGATTGAAATTCCTAGATATGGAAGATAACGGCCGAATTTTATTTCTAAGAATTCAGAATTCTATTCATTCCTATATTCTAAAATTATCTACATATTTCATAACGATGAGAAAGAATTTGATTTCTCTAATCTTTATAAGAAAAAAATCATATTCATAAATACATTTATAGATATTTGAAGAATCATAGATAAATGTAATAAATACGAAATCTACCAATTCATTTTTCTAAAATAGAAAATATTTTTATTTCTCTTATAAATCCTATCAGAGAAAATCTATGGATTTCATTAGCGGATATTAGGGCGCAAAATCAAAAAATGAATATATATCATCTAAAATAAGAATCTGAAATATTCTAATATTTATATTTCTTGAAATTCAAAAATCTCATAATATAATATATAAATCTGGATTTTAGATATTAGACGACCTTATTTCATATTCGGAATATAGAATAATTAGAATTGGCCCGCTGCTTTTAGCAGCGAAAAATATTTATTTGAGAAAGCCCATAACAAGAAATCCGATGACCAAGCAATATGTAAGATCGTTCGAGAAGCCCGATGAACTATCAATATTTCAAGCTCGCACGTGACAGTCTGAAAGATTTTAGATCTCCGCCCCGGGTCTTCACGTTCCCTCGAGCTGCCGCGCAAACAACCAAAGAAAGAGAAATAGCTCGAAATCTTGGGAAATTTTTGGTCCGCGGCCCCCGCATCCAGCCCGGCCTTTCCGCCTCGTTTATCTCTCTTGGGCTATCTGCGCGGCGGCTTGGGGAAGCGCATAAATCCCCGTGGACAGATACGGCAAACCTAGAAAATTGCAAAAGATTTTGGTTCTCCGTCCCGGGTCTATACGCTCCGCGGAGCAGCCGCGCAGACAGCCAGAGAGAGATAAATCACGCGGAAAAAACGCTCAGGAGGCAAGTACCACGCGACCAAAAATCTCCGAGATTTTTGATCGCGCCGCCCGCACCAAAAATCTCGGAAATTTTAGAGCCTCTAGCTTTTCCGAAGGGCTCTAAAATCTCCAAGATTTTAGAGCCCCTAGGGAGGCCGCAGGAGGCATTTTAAAGGTGAGCCGGAAAACCTAGGCCGCGCGCGCGCAAAATGACCGCAAGTGGCCGCGCCGTAATATTGAGGTATGGAGCAAGTCGTTGCGTCCATGCCCCTGCAATTAATGATTGTTTTTTTCAGCGAATTTTGCTGATTTTCTCGTGGGCTGAATTACCGGCAGCGACAGAAGCAACAACCTTGGTCTTTCATGAAAAGATATGCAAAGATCAAATTCTTGGCATGGATCAACCAGCAATGACAACCGGCCTCCGTCAACTACTTCATGAGGCATATCCCATACTCTCTTCACCTGCTGCATGAGGAACCTTGCTCCTCTTCCTCGATGGCGGCTTTCAGAAGCTCGCGTTCCCGAGCCTCTTCCGCACACAACGCAGGAAACTAGCAGTCTTACGCATCTTACTTGTATGAGTATACACGTTCGAGTCAAAGCTGGGTGGAGCACGCGCACAACTGCATGCAAAGTGCTGAGCGTTCTGTCAGAATGAAAAGGCTAAGACTGAAGACTCTGTGGAGTCAGACTTCGGCAATGGCCAACCAAGAGAAAACCCCAGGAAGATGAGGCAAATTGCCGCCTGCAAAGCTTCCATCTGCCTCCTGCAAACAGGAATCAAAGACTTGCTCCACAGAGTTTCCTCCGGACACGACTTCCCAAGGACACAATGAAGGATTGGCTCCTGAGGATGTCATCCATTTCTCTGAGGTCGTTTTTGCTGTCGCAGGAGTCCTACGCAAAATGGCTTGCAACCTGGATTTTTCACATGGCAGCTTCTAGAAAAAAACGTGCCTCAGGGATGCTGGGCGATGCTGATGAAATTACAGGGTCCCCCAAGAGTAAATCACATCAACATCTTTTGGGAAACTCCCATATCATATGGCCCTTTTCGGCTCTAAGACAAAAAGCCCCTGGTGTCCCGCAGATGCACCACCCATGTGTACAGAATGACGGTGGTGGGAAAAGCAGCCTGCAGTTCCAGGGTTCACAGAGCCACACGCTGCACTGCAAGATCACGCGCCAAACATCTGCTGTTGGGATCTTTGCCAGGCACCAGGAGCGCTTCATGATCTAAGGAACTTAATTTCAGTTACTACATTGGGGAAACCATATTAAGTACTATTTCATTTACCCCTTACAGTATGGTAACTTTAATTCAATATTAGCATCACATGATTGTCTCTTCCAGGACCGCAGCCCCAAGCGTCAAAAAGGCGACCACGGCAACCTCCTCGCAGAGTTTGTGCTTGTCCCTACTTCCGGTTCAGCAAGAGGGGGCACAGGGACATTGTTATCCTCAACGAGCTCTGCCTTCCTCTGACATTATTGATTAATTAAATCATCTGACATGCATGCTTTCGACTGCTTCTCTGATGCTTTGTGCGGCTAACGCAGCCCTGATGCCTGCGGCTGGTGCCAGTCCAGAACCTTAAGCAGAAGCTCACGGGCTTTTTCGCACAACTTAGAACAGCCGGAGGGAACGGCCAGAGAAACAAGGGCAAGCCAGTTCTGGCCTCGTAAATCGGGCAGTCGGGCTGAACATAATAGCCTGCACACCCATTTGGCCTCAGCCGGGCCGAGCTGCATCCCCTATGCTCGGAAGATCGACATGCAAACTAAATCTGCGCTCAGGCATTTGAAGCGCAACCGCCCACTGCTAGACCCTGCTTCTTTACTGAGTAGGTTGCGGCTGCGAGCTGAGCTTAACGCAATCCGATCTTCAAACAATAGTGGATGAAGGAGAAAACCTTGGTGGCCCGGCACTTTTGTTCACTAAATGAAGGTTCGAAGGCTTTTCAAACAATGAGAGTTTCGTGCTTCCTGCAGCTGCTGCTAACAAGTTCCATAACAACGCCACAGGATGCTAGGCGGCAAAGTATACTGCGGAAAATCCAGATAAATGCTCATGACGTACACGTCTCCACAAGCTCTGCGCACGGCTACCGAGCTTCATGCCAGGTAGGCGACCCCGAACAAAAGCAGCCACCCACCGTGTTGGCAGGAGAAGGGGACGCGGCCTGCTGCAGGTGGACATGACCTTCTGAGAATCACGAAGGCCTACAGTCCAATGGCAGTCCGAGGCACTAAACAAACAGCTGGTCAGAGTGAAGATCCAGCTTATGCAGTGAACGAAGAAGCCCAGGTAGTCTGGGAGATCCTGACATGGGGAAGTGCTTCTTTCCCAGCCACACGGACGAGGCGGATCCCCGGCTGACCAGGATGTAATTGTCATCACGGACTACGGTCTGCCTGCCTCTGATTGGATAGCCCATATGGGCTTCTCGACTGTCCAATAGAAGACCTGGTAGCAGGATACATGCGTTTCGGCGACAGAGCGCCATTGTGACATTGCCAAAGTTACATCTCACGGAACTGGATAGCAGAAGCTTCGCTGTTACTCAAGTGTTCCCATCCTTGCCCTGCATGGGGGTGAGAGCGAGACACTTTCTGGGTTGGCGGCCATTGACAAGAAGGACAGCGGTTGCCTCGCTACTGCAGGACAGACCATGGGCGCAGTCAGGCTTTGGTCAGAAAGCGCTGCGCGAATGAAAACCAAACTCTGAGTTTTTTGATGGCCGGCTTGGATCCTTATAGCGTCCCTTATAAACACTCAAAGGACACGCCCCAGATCAAAGTACTGGTGTGCCCTGATAGTGTCAGGGCCATGCATTGCCAAGCTACGCTAGGGCAGAGATTGCCAAACCGGCAGCGACTGGGTCTGGCAAGGGCAAGTTCTCCTGTACGATGCGAATGATCCGACAGCTTGTCTTCAAACGCACAAGATCCTAGCTCAAGCTCGGAACAAGCTGGAGTTTGGCCACTGACGACGCTATGCTATGACGCGTCTCACAGAAAAGGGCTGTCCTTCTCCTCGTCATACCGCACAGGTAACCCAGATAGGCCTCCGGCCTCAAAAGCTTCACAGAGACTTAGCAAGCCTTGAGTTGTGCAAGAGCAGGTTCGAGAATGCAGGCAAGTTCTTCTTTTCGTTGTTGCCTGCTGAGTGGGATGACAGAAGCAAGCCCTTCCGCGCCACATTGGCTGCGACACCCTTGCTGTATGGGAAGGCTCACCAAGCGCTCACACGTTTTTTATTCATTCTTTCTTTCCCGCTCATGTCTGCTCCGCTGCTCCAGGACATCAAGGCGGCCAGCAGGGCCCATTTGAGCTTCGAAGCTGCTCATGAAGGCGTCCAGCCCTTGCCTGGAGGGAAAGATCTTCCATTCGCTGCAGGCTTCGTTGTATTGCGTTGCTGCAGGGCTATAATCATGCCACGAGGAAATGAAGGCAGCCCTAATTCAAACGCTCTCAGGCCAAGCGTCGTCACGGCTTCCACATCGTGCGGGTCCTGGCGCTCCCCGTTGGTTTGGTCCAAGCATCCGCAAACAGGTTCCATGAATCAAGGGTGCCTTCTCGGAAGTCCCTACAATAAGCATACTCTAATATTATGGCCCCAGAATATGTGCGGGCACAGAGCACTTTCACAGTCAGCCTCCTGCAGCTCTCGCCACAGAGCAGCGAAGGCTGACGCCGTCTGAACGCGGTGTGCCTGTCCCCGATACTTGCGGGTAGAGCCGAACCTTGGAGCAAATGTTTGGGGAAACACGGGAAAACAGACCTATGCACTTTAATGTCTTGAGGTTCAGGCTGTTCAGGGTCTGATAATAACATCTCGAAGTCTGGAATGATCAGATAAGGGGCAGTTTTACTGAGCCGAGAGGACCGCCCTCCGCATCCATGCGAAGATGTCCATCAAGTCTAAAAAATTAGGGGGAGTCCAAGGCTTGGAACAACCACCTCATCAACAAGCTTTGACTTTAAGCTTCGGTTTCCAGCAACGTGCTGGCCAAATCAACATGGCACCCTGGATTCTATTCACATAGACCATATTGAGCAGCATGGCTTTCTGTCACCACTCCTCGAAATGGTGCTGAGATGTACTGAGAAGTGCTGAAAATACTAGACATGAAAATACGACTGAGGCACTCCTCTCTGGTGGCGGTCTCCACGAAACACCTTCATACAGACAGCGATGAGCTTGACAAGCCCGAAAGATCAGCACCGTAAGCAAAGATTATTCCTTCAGCACATGTCCATGAGCGAGAACCGCTCTGACCCGCTATGTATGATGTATGCGAAGCACGGCAGCTAGACTCAGGTCAGGAAGGGCAGAGTTTGGCGGCTCGCACCTTGGGATGGCTGGGTCAAGCCACTGGTTCATCTTCTTGCATTGCGCCCATCCTTTAGGGGCACGACTCCATGAATTGCAGGTAGCCATGATCTGCTGTGCAATGCTGTGCATGTCATTCTAGCCTCCATCCAGAATCACAATCCTCCGCGGAGCCTCTCCTGCGGTTTTGCCGGCTCAGAACCGAAACAGCTGGCTGGGCTGGTGCTTACACATGCCACTAGAAGGGCTTCTTGTCATCCCTGCACCATCCGTCAGCACTCTGAGAAGGTTGCAACCCTACAGTGGCCCTGCATGAAGTGAAGAATGCAGGAGAGTATGGATGGCAGGCTGCCAAGCCACCTTCCTGATTGTTGCATGAAAGAGTAGTGCGGGAAGTTCTTGCTTATGCTGCATCAGTTCTATACTAGGTCCTAGATGATGAAGAGGGGTGGGGTTGTGCTGGTCCTGCCACCACTGCTGCCATCGCGGCAGCTGGCAATGCATCCGGCGATGGGAACAAGATTGCCGTTCCAGCAACATCTTCCCTTCACAGGCACCGCTGCAAGCTGAATACGGATGCATTGTTGCATGCACGCGCTCTTGCTCCATTGCATGCTGCGCACCTCAGCAGCTCCTTCAAACGCTCCTCGTGTTCAGGAAGACCGCCTCAGTCAGGCTTGCCTGAGCCAACTGAAACACGCTCTTCATATCTGGCATCCGCCTCTGAAAGGCAAGCTCAACCCACTTGCTCCAGCACGAAATCTAGAAGCAGATGCTGAGCAAGACACAGCAGAAGAGATCTGCTCCAAGGAGCAGCAGAAGTACGGCGGTGTTCGAGGCGGAGTGCTGTCCCAGCTCCTGCGAAGTTCTTGACGAAACTCTGACTGTGAGAGCATCCTGTCCTCACACGGATGACCAGCCTCGTAATGAAACAGCACGATGACATGCGGACGGAATTTCCTGACGTGATGGCATGGCCACGTGCACGTCTCTTTGTGCGGATGCTTTCCAAGCTTTGCGGCCTGCACGAGTCTGCGTCCCCCTGAATCTGCGAACTGTGGCTGAGGCAGCTAAGCGTCACAGTGGGGATTGCTGAGCAGCAGCAGTGTGTTGTAACGCGCCAACATCCTGGTCACTGGGCAAGGTCTTGGAATAGAATGCTTGGAAGACGTAACATGAAAACCATCGATTTTCACACAGCAGCACTTGCTGTGGGAGTTGTGCCAAGGGTCAAAGCGAAAGGCAACCTATCGGGCCTACCATCTAAGCCTTCTAACTCTGCCACTGTGTGCATTGTAACATGCTTTGCAGCATACTGGGTCGCACTTAAGTGGCCACAGGAAAGAGATCAACAACGCCAAGAGGGAGCCATCCGAGATCCTGCAGAACCCAGCCCAATCGGTTTAATCAAAGAAAAAAGGCGGCGGAAAAATGGCTCTCAGCTTAATCAAGGGTGTCCTACGACCCCCAAACCCTCTCAAGCAAGTAACATTTGCGGTCGTCAAGCAGCACGTCTCGCAAGCAGCTTCGGCAAGGAGCATGCCATATTGTGGCTTCGCACTTTTTCACCATTAGCTCTCATGCAAAGCCAAGATGCTTGGGCACTTGACACCAGGCTGCGCCAGAAAGTTGCAATACCTGAGTGCTGTCAGTGCTCTCAACGGCGCAGATCTCCATGCGAATGTTTTCTGAACATGTTGCAGCAGTACTGGGTGCAGAACGACATCTATTTTTGTGATTGCACTCATCTCGATATATTAGTCAACTTTCTCTTGAGGTTGAACGAAGTCTAAAAAGACTATGCAAATCGTGCTTCTTCTGATCTGCACTGCAAGGATACACCCGCATCGTGGGCTAAGTGTGTTCTAACTCTAACTGACCAGCCGCACAGTACCTGATAGCACCAATGCTGCACCCTGGTCGGAGAGCAGCAGGCCAACTTAGACAACTTCATCGAGTCGGGCTGCATGCCCCAGCATTTTTGCGCCCGCGGCGTTCGGAAACGCTGACTTGGATCCTTTTGGCAGCAGTCTGGGAGTGAAAGTCGTCTCCCATGCAGGACAGTGCGTCCGTTTACATTGGCAAGAATGCCTTTTGGCATGATTATTGTTGCAGCGGTCGCAGTAGCTTCAGCAGGAATACCCAAAGTTCAAAGGGTAGCAGTTTCCTTTTTTCCGTTATCCCAATATAATCCTAATATACTTTAGTAGTTTACATTCTATTTTCCATTATCCCTATATAACCCCACTATAACCCTAATATACTATAGTAGTTTCCATTTTCTTGTCCATTATTCCTACAGTATATAATCCCAATATACTATAGTAGTTTCCATTTTCTTTTCCATTATTCCTATATATTCCCAATATACTATGTAGTAGTTTCCATGATTAGTGCCTGCGGAAGCTCCAAGACTTTCAGCTCCTACTGCTCGAGCTTTATCTGTCTGATCTTTCTGATGAGTACTTAGGCTTGTCACCCCTTCCTCTAAGGGCCCTATAGGGGTTCAACAATGTTCAACGCCACGTGAACACCTGTGCGCTAATCTTGCAGAAGCGTAGCTTTGCCGTACAAGTGAGCGACCCAGTAGGAAGCAAGAGTAGTCTTATACGAACAACTGACATGGACTGTACGGGCAGCGGGTAGAAGCAACCGCTCCTTCACCTCGTGAGCTTGGCCTTGATGAGAGGCATGCTCCAGGGATTCGCCATCGCCATCTTCATGTCGCATTGCATTCGTTAAAGCTTTTTGTGCCAGCCTCTTGGTCGAGAATGATGCAATTTACTTCGAGGCTCACGCAACAAGTATCCTGCCCTTTCCTGCCAGGCAATCCCACTATATGCTCTTGTCTTGGCTTTTCCACTCATTAATGCGGACGCCTGCTCCTGTGTTCGCCCACCTGCTCAACTTTCAGAGTCTTGGAAACGGCCTTGATTTGCGAAACCTCCTCAAATCAGTACTAGTTACTAGTGGCAGGCTGCTTGGTTTGACGCTTCTGCTGAAGCCAAATGCTGTCCACGAGGATTTGACAAGCAGCCTTGAGGAACCACCCCTGCGCGACACCTTTACAACGAAGCGGCCAAGGATGACGATCAGCTTATTATTCATTGCAGAGTTGCCCTTCTTCTCTAGGGCAAAAGTCCTTTCCATTTTCCAGACGTGCGGGCATGGGCATGTCTGACACGTGGTTTGTCTAGCAAATCAAGTCCAGCTGGTTTCCAGCTGATACTTGTGTTGGTTCAAGCCCATTGCAAGAGCGCATTAACTGCAGAGGCTGCCCTGAGAGGTCAGTTGCCATGTTTTGGCAACCCCTCTGACAAACAAATTGCACGCTTTTGCGGCGTAAGTTGCTGCGGACGTCATGATCTATTGTTAAGAGCTGCCAGTGGCTTTGACACCTCCAGTGCCTGCTGCTTTGAGATGTTTGTAGAACTGAGACTGAGGCCCGTAGCTCCTGAAGACCTTCTGTGCCGTTTTGGCAACCCTGGCCTTGAAGGCCGTCTCGTGTGATAGTCTAGAGCAGCTGCTCGGCTCATCTGAGCAATGTTTCTGAGCAGCTGCTCGGCTCATCTGAGCAATGTTTCTTTTGGTGGTTGAGACAAGTAAGGTTAGGTTCTGTACGTAGAATACTATACCTCAAAGATAACTACGGTATCCCCAAAACAAAAATTACTCATCTGGCAAAAGTACGTAACAGAAAGTGACCCAGACGTGCCAGCCGGCCACGGCTAACTGCTTCTGACAGCGGCCAAGCTTCAGGTTTGACCTGATCTGGGATGTCAAAAACCTCCGGCTGACGTCGCTTTGGAGGGCGCGGCCTAAACTTGCACCAAAAAAAATGACAGCCATGCCCTTCACTCCAAACTGGACAATGAGCCCTCGAAGACTAAACCACTGGGACTGTCCATGGGTCATGTCTTGCTACGTTCAACCGGGACCTGGCTTTGCCCCCCCCTCCAAAGCACACTCCAGCAGGACATAGACGCTGCCGCTTCAGATCTTGTTGTAGAGGATCTCCTGACATGGCTGTATCTGCCGAAGGCAAACCTAGTGCGCAGGCTACAAGTGCATCCTTGCTATCCGTTGGAATTTGTTCTCATCCCCACACACTCTCCCCCTTCAAAAATGCAATTTAGACAAACATCTTGGTGTGTAGTGTAGCGTGTAGTCCCTAAAAGTTCCCGTGCATTTGCAAGCCTGCCATTGGTATCTGCATGATCTGGATCGAAAATGCACCCCATCTTGAGGGCTTAGGGACTCTGTTGGGTTTTTTTTTATATTGGGATAATGGAAAACAAAATGGAAACTACTATAGTATATTGGGGCTATATTCGGATAATGGAAAATAGAGTGGAAACTACTATAGTAGCTTAGGATTATATACCTCATAATCCCCTATATAACCCATTGTAGTAGTTTCCATTTTCTTTTCCATTATCCCTATATAACCCCTATATAGCCCGACATATCCCTGGGTTAGGGTTTAGAAGACCCTAAATCCTAAACCCTAAACCCTAAACCTCCCCTGGCACTTCCGGCCTTCTTGGCGGTTTTATCGTTGTCCTCCTGGCAGCTGAGCCAGTGTTGGGCCGCATACGCACTTGCAAAACTCAGGAAAAGTAGTAGTTTCCATCTTCTTTGCCATTATCCCAATATAACCCCAATATACTATAGCAGCTTCCATTCTACTTTCCATTATCCCAATATAACCCCCATATACTGTAGTAGTTTCCATTTTCGTTTCCATTGCCCCAATATAACCCCAATATACTATAGTAGCTTCCAGTCTATTTTCCATTACCCCATGTATAAGAAAAAAGCAACCTGGAGCTGAAGATGCCTGAGCGTAGAAGTTCTCGGTCTGCGAGCGCATCGAGTTTGACCCGCCACCGAATCCCTTTTTGCGCAGCTTGCGCAGCATGTTCTGCGCCTCACCGAATGGCAAAAGAGGTTAGCGCTTGACAGGAGTTGAAAGAAAAAAGTGTGCATGCTGCTTAGCTTTAGGTGGTTGTTGAAGCGTGGCAAGCCAGGCTTGTTGAGAGCTGATCGGGCTAACCCTGCTGAGCCCGACACCTCCTCGGACTCCTGCTCCATGAGCTGCATCCTTTGGGTTGGGCCCCCACCCACTAATAGTTTCATACTAGGAGTATATAAAGGCCCTAATATAATTACCATTACCTCTTGCCGTCACTATTAGCGGGTGGGGGCCCAACCTAATGCATCCGTGTTCGGGAGCAAATTGTGTCAACTACAAGGACGGACAGCATAACTGCGCAGCCTTACGCATCTACCTTGGGATGATTCATTTGAACCATATGGAGGTTTCCAAAAATTAGGGGTACTGTTTGGGGCTTCCCTTGATAAGGCCTAAAATATTTTGGAGTACTTCTATTGGGGTCCCCTAATTTTGGGAAACTACCATATTGCTAAGTGAGGGCATCTGTTTTGCAAGCATTGTCGGCCCAGGCACTGCTCTGCCATGACCGCCGTCACCCTGGCCTGGAATGCCTGACAGCCGCGCTGCTCAACTTCAAGAAGATGGAGAAACAGGGAATATATTAGGGTTCTATGCGGGTTATATTAGGGTTATATTACGGTTATATTGGGGATATTGGGAATAATGAAAAAGAAAATGGAAACTACTAGGTTTCAAGGTGTCCTGCCACGACTCATGCAGTTCTGGTGATAGAATAGGGACGCTGCAGAGCGAAAAGATAATCCAAGCTGATCCCATTTGATATTGCTTCTTGCGAGGCTTAATGCAGATCATTATTGTTCCTTACTCTTAACGCAATTTTGTTGTTCCTATGACTATTCTTGCTGTACTACTACCACCACCGCTACCACCAGGCATACTTCTTCAGTCCTTGAGCCTCCCTCCACGTTTGAAGGGCACTCAGCCCTACCTTGAGTTGGCATTCATGTCTAATCTCCAAGCCTATCAATCTGCTTTGGACATTTTGGACGAGAAACTTACTATGGTTCGACTTGCACGCTGCACCTGCCTCAAAACCCTGTCATATGCCCAAAGTACCATAATCCCGCTGCTGCAAGGACCCAGTCCGGCACATACTTTGGAGCCCGCCTGGCTGGTTGGGGAGATCTCCCGCAAAGCTTGCCTGGATGGCTAGCAAATTCAGGCACGAGCCAATGGGACATCATAAAGAATGACACGTAGGGACTTCTACAGGGGATCTCAATTCCCTACTGAACAGCAGTAGCTCACTACTCACGTATGCGGCTCAAGCAGCTGTTCAACATACAGGTAGCAGCAGCACGAAATCTAGGAATCTCTGCTAGAAGTGGGGCGCAAAGGTCATGTTTGTGAAACGTACTACTTGCTGGCGAGAGCCTAGTGACCTGTCCACAGATGTCAGGGCCGCTATGCAGTAAACCCTGGTCCCACATGTTGGCGGCCAAGCGTCACTTCGCGCAGAGACATCTTGCTCGGCATCTTGCTGAGTGGGACAAAAACTTTTGTGACCTTCGCCCTTGGATGGCTGCCATTCACGTGACTGCGACGGAGCACCTATGCTGAATCTAGCTTTAGCTGTTTATGTCTGCAAAGGAACACTTGCAAGTACGAGGTGGTACGTATCAAGAACTCAAAGGCGTTGCTTTGGCAGGGGTCCCATCTTTTGTGTTTGAGATTTAGCGCCTCACCGCAGATCTGCTTCTTCGATCCAGAATGCTCGTGTCTCATTCTGTGGGGAATACCTTCTGCTTCTGTGCACATCTCTATAGGACCTTTCTTTGCCAGCTTTCTGATCTTTAAACGTTGCAGTTATGTCGGCTTAAAAGGGAAAAAGGAACGGCCCCAAGCGTGCAAAAGCCAAGTGGCACGTGGTCGCCACTTGTGGCATCACCCACCAGGGTCTTGTCTGAGCGTGCTAACACCCGGATCATGGAAGCCTGGGTGGTCACAGGCGGGAGCATGGGCAACTTACCGCTGCCCTCCTGCATATCTGAGTGCAAAATGCTGAAGCCCAATAGACTGAAAAAGCTGGAAGTTGTCAGAAATGACTGGGGTGCTGGCCAGTGGTGGATCGCAGGCCCAAACCCTGTCAGCAAGTTGTTGGCTGGAGGTATTTGACAAGGGCCGAGAGAAAGGACGGATACACGCACCCGCCGTTGCCTCAAACTACATAGAAGAACAGCAGCCAAACAGCAGAACATCCAAACAACAACTTGCTGCTAATACCTGCATCTTATCTCCTACTGAAAGCTTCCAGTCATTCGTTACAACTTCGCTGCATTTTACCACCACCGCTGCCGGAGCCACCACGTTTATGGGTGCTGCCGCAGTGGCCGCCGCCACCGTTACCGCCATCAAAGCAATGAACGACAACCACCATCATTACCATCACTGCTACTACCACCACTACCACCACTGACGCTCATCGTGCTTTGTCAGATGCACCAATGGCCCATGGCTGCAGCCCGGCCTCTCCAGCTGCCAGATGTCGTGGGGACGAGTGAAAAAGGCGTTGAAAATCTCACGCAGCTGATTGTCATGCCTGGGGATTGGAAAGACTGTCGTTCGAATTTGAGCTAAGACTTGCAACATTCCAAATCAAAGCCAAAACGTCTATCGGCCAAGGCTTGGAACTCTTGGCCACCTATGCCACCCCACTGTGCAGGAGCCCCAAGGCGCATCGAAGCACATAGCTTGGTTCAGTCGGGCGGCGTGATGCACGGCCCGTGGGTCTTAGCAGCTCTCAAGGTTGTTAGGGCTGGGTTGCAACAGTGTTTCAAGGCATGTTCTCTTGGCAACACCAGTCACTCTGGCTGCTGTGAGTCAAGGCCCGGGCTCCGTCCTCCAAAATGCAAACCAAGGCATGGTGAAGACCCTGCCTTCAGACTAGCCAGGATAATCAGGCATGCCCATGTCCATCCAGCAGAGCAGGTGGGAAATCCAAACGTTTATCAAACTGGAGCAGCATTCAGGAACCCCAGCATCACAGCTGAACATTCGGCATGTAGTGTAGTGGAGCTCTTAGTCAATTCTAACCTCCAGGGAAAGCTTCATCTGCCTTACGAAGGTATTGTAGCCGTTGCCGGTCAAGTTCTTGTCACCGTAGCCCATGCCGTCTTCAACGACAATCTTCGCAACACTTTGCACCTCACCACAAGCGCAACCAGATCAACTAGGCTTCGCCACATGGTAGTTTCCCAAAATAAGGGAACCCCAATATGAACCCCAATATACTATAATCCTTATTATAGTTACCCCAAAAAGGGTACCCTGATTTTGGGAAACCCCCATATCTTCTGCATCCAAATCCTCAGTGGTCTGTGAGCTAGGGGTGCGACCGCACCGAAGTATTCATCCTCCGGGACAACTTTGTTCGGGCTTTACCCTTCACACCATGAGTTGCATTGGAGTGTTTCCTGAAATTAGGGGTACCTATTTGGGGGATGGCCATATAAGGATCATAGTATATTGGGCTCTATATTGGGGTCCCCTGATTTTGGGAGACTACCATTTCTATCATCAGTAGCAAGGGTCCCAAAACAGCACTCAATAGCACAACCAACATCTCAAAAGCCTGGCCGCATTGTTGGCTTCGTATTAATCTGCCGGCTCGATTGATCTTGTTCCATTTTGGGGGCCTGTGAAAAATAATGCCACAAACAGAACTTGAAAATCCATCTAGAATCATTTAAACCCTAATTGGAATCAAGATCACTGAAAAACAGCATCTTCCAGTAATAACATAATTGCAGATCTAATTTTGCTTGTGTTCTGGCAGCGGGATTCTGTAATTGTGGGCCTAGTCCCTGACGTGACGTCAACATTACAGGAACTCCATCTCCATGGGGTCAATCTCCCCCCCAGCAAAGGGTACCACGGAGGACCGTTGTAGGTGTATGAAGGCCATTTACAGCCATTAACCTCCATATCTTAGCAGCTTTTACTGTTGGGGAGGGGGGGGGCGGGGGGGGATCCCGCGGGGGGGGATCCCCTTAATAAGCACTATAGTACACCGCTTTCTAATCCCCCTTTAAAAGTTTAGACACTAGCCCATCTCCTTGCTGCCGATGATGTTGAGCGTGGGTACATCCCGCTGCCCGCCGATCTGGCCATCCTCCGGCTTCGGCGTGAAGTAGCAATATTCCACACCTGGGGCACTCTAACAAAGTACAGCTTTTGTACTTTGGTTTTTTTAGGGTTTAGGGTGCATTCCACACTTGGCGCACTCTAACAAAGTACAGTTTTTTTGTAGTTGGGGGTTGAGGGCTTAGGGTTTAGTGGGTGTATTCCACACCTGAAGCACTCGAACGCAAAGTGATAGTTTCCCAAAATGGGGGGATTATAAGCCAAAGCCCCAAAATACTTATTATATTGACACCCACAAGGGCACAAGGGTACCCCTAAATTTAGGAAACCCCCAAGGTTCTTTCTTGCACCTGTGCCAGAGACTCACGCTCCATTCGGAGCTGCTCACAAGTTGACACCGAGCACCGCGCTGAATGAGTTGATGAACCGCCCCAAAACGGATTTGCCGTAGCCTTGGGCAACCACGCTCAGTGTGCAAAATTTACCCAAGGCAGAAATTGGTGGATGGCTGCTGAGTGTGACCGAGCCTGCACGTTGGTACTGGAGCGCTTCTACTTTCGGTCAAGCGTCGCTGGTCATCAAATCTTGCAATAGTCATGGCTCCCTCGGAAGTTCCTCCTCACAGTCCCAGGCAAGGAAGGCGGGAGGAGACCCTCTTGTGGCGGTATCCAGGCAGTCCTAGAAAGAAGCCCTGAGCTAAGATGAACCGCGGCAGCTTCGAGATGATGAAATGCAGCTCCTGAGCTGCGCATGCTGCGCCAATGTTCGCACTTGATCCAGAATGCAAACCCATAGGTTTTTATAGGTAGCCAGCATGGCACGTCTACTTGCAGCTTGAGCATCGCTGCGCCGCATCTGGTAGCACTTCTCATACATTTCCATCCACCTCAGCTTGTTTGCATGTCTGGGATCTGACCTTTTCGCACCAAATTCCTGAGGCTAAGGCTGGTCTGGATGGCTTAAAACGTCCTCAGCCTTGGTTTGGTCTTGGGTTATTCAATGAAATCTTTGTGTAAAACGGTGCTCCATTGCAGCCTTCAAGTTCCTGACTCCAGACTGCGGTAACACCTGTCAACCTTCCAATTAGGAGCCAAGGCTTGCGGAATAATTGGGCGCAGTAGAAAGGTGTCAGGCTTGAAGGTCTGAATTCCCCAATCTGCTCACGCCCGCTACTGATTGAACACTCCGCATGCGTTTGCTTCTTCGCCAACGACTTCCTCTTGCAGTTGCTTGAGCAGGTTGCAGTGACTTGGCAACATGCCACAAGTGGCTAATGACTTGTCTTCAACTCGAACCAACCCAAGTGTTAAAATCATGTTCGGGCCGGTTACAGGTTTACATCTGGCCTTGTCGGACTTCTCTGTTTCGGCGGATGAAGACTCAAAACATCACGTTTGACCATGGCATGTGAAAGTGAGAAGATGTCCTACACGCGGTCCACGCAAAGAGCCACCAAAGCAACAGCCTATTCCGATGTGCCAGGCGGCTTTCGTGGAGTAAGTGCTCTCGCCCTCCGCCTGTTCTCCAGCAGGACAACTTCTCAACCGCTTAGAAAAATCAATATTATGACACAGCAATATCTGACATTGTGTGGTAGTGCCTGCAGCAATGACAAGAAAATTGTATATGATAGTGAGAGATATTGCTTTGTTCTGTCTGTCACGGTTGTTCGTAATAGTGGAAAGGAGATACATGCCAGGGTTGCTCTTGAGGTGTATCGTGACTCCGTGAAGGCACAAGGGCAAAAACCAGCAGATAACCACCCTGAATGCTGGAGGTGAGGTGTTGGGGAGACTTAGCTATGCCCTGAATTGATGGAATGCAAGTTGCTTCGAAGGGTCCAGAATGATGCCTAAATGGTCATCATCAGTAGCTGTCACTCACACCTTCTGGTTGAAGCCAAAATGTCAGGATGTGGCCCCAGGAAACTTCTTTCATGTTGAAAACTGGCTTTGTGGGCCAACTTCTCAGTCTTGAGGTAGCCCGGGTAGCCCTGGTCTGCAGTGCGAATCTCTCATTCCTTTGCGAAGACCGCAACAGCTGGTTGTAACGTGGGCAAGCGCCACAGTACTTAGACGATAGGTAATGGCCGAAATGAAGCCGCAGCTGAGGTGTCTGGTGTAAACAGCTCCGTGTCGTTTATGCAACCTGCACCGAAATCCAGCAATCTCCCTACATTCCTACATCTTACTTGAGGAGCTGCAGTGGGTTGGCCGTGGTTTGTGTACAAAGAGGAGATTGCCAGGGTCTCACTGCTTGGCGGGCTACCCTGAGTTCAATTTAAAGCCTTGTGTCTAGAACTGGTGAGCGTAGTCTGCTTCTTCAACATCCAAGCCAAGAAGGTGGTGTGGGCATATGATCTGCAACCTATCACATGCTTGAAGTATCAAGAAACGCGCTGCATGGCTCGGTTTACCACAAGCTCAGAGCGAGACCTACAAGCCCAGCTGCTGATAGTTTGCATGTCTCTGTTCTTCAGCAAGGGAACCCCTGAGCTTTCCAGTATCTGCGAATGCGCAATCTTTTTCCCACGAGCATAGCGCCCGCAGAGCGGCAGAGAGCACTTCGCCTTCTGCTGGATCATCCACGCAGTGGACGTCCAGAAAATCGCCTTACAGCACCAGAAGATTAATGCAGAATCGCTGCATCATATCGGAAAAACCAGTTGCCTTCTGACTTTTTCTTTGGGCTTACAATGCATTCTACTGACGACTCACGACAGCAGCCAAGTCTCCAATGTTTGCGCTGTAGTTGTCAACGATCCTGGGCCGGTCCATGTTGAGTTTTGCAAAGCACGCAGCTGATTAAATCTGCAGTCGCTGGTCATGGTGAGTTTGGTGAAGCTGTGTGCATGCCGCGGTGCTGTCGGATGTGGTCGTAGGAATCTTCGATTTCCGATATCAGTCGGCTGCAAAGCTTCCCACCGCCACCAACGCTGCGAATCCAGTCGGAGACTTCCTCAGACCCAGCTGCCACATGCTGGTAATGCTGCATCGTAATTAGCTGTTTAATTTCATTCGCAATCTCCAAGAGTCGAGGCTGATGTGGGAGGACGGCGGCGCCGAGAAGGCAGTCACTTCTTGCTTCGGTCGCAGTTCCGCCACCCCCTCGTCGCAGAGAGCAAGCGGGGGCCGGTCACGGTCCTTCAGAAAAAAATCAAACAAAGGCGTACATCTGGTGCAGCTTGGCTAACGGCTAACATATTGCCCAGCCTCGTGCTCCCTGATTTGCTGGTCCTCGACTTGCAACGCTGGGACATCCTCACTGCTCCCAGGTGGCATGAAGAAGAGGATGTCGCCGGAGATCAACCGCTTCAAACGACCAGTCGGGAGTCTGTCGCCATTGAGCCATGTCCCGTTGGAGGAGAAGTCGCAGAACATGAGCAACGCTTCACCGTTTGGGCCGTGTTCAACTCGGAACTCAGCATGCTTCTTCGAGGCATGTTGGACCTTCAACAAGATGTCAGAGCTGGAGGCTCGGCCGCATGTGAGAACGTGCAAATGATCGAACACTTCCACGAATTCCGGAACGCTGTCTCCGCCTCCGTGACGGAACAAAACGAATGCAACGGTATTGCTCCGCGTCTGAGCAGAGGGATTCTGAAAAGGCGACTTTGCGCTGACTTGCTCTTCCACCTTCAATCGTTCAAAAGATGGGGGTGGTGGCACAGGCAGAGGCGGAGGCGGGGGAGGCGGCAGCTTGGCAAACGGCGGCTGGGGAACAGAATCGCTCCCTCTGTCCTCCTCCTCCCCCTCCCCCTCCTCCTCTTTTCGCAGCTTTTGTATCTGCATCCAGAGAAAGGCTGAAGGATTCCGGCGCTGTCGCAGGTCCATTCCAATCAGCGTACGCTGTGCCGACCGGGGCAGGCGGCGCATAGCACGACAGGACTTACCGTCGATACCGTTCAGCCGCAGGAAGCCCTCCACCTCTGAGGCAAGGCCACGGCGGAAGGGGTTCAAAGGGGGTGGCTGCAGGCTGTAGGTGTTTAGGGGTATATAGAGATACATAGGGATCATGGAGAATCAAATGGAAAAAATAACATGGAACATGGAGGGGAAACGCCCCCTTTTAGCCATTGCTTACGCGGCTAATGCAAACGGGTCCTTCGAGGACACGATCACCTACACGAACACCTGCAACTTCAGCCGGGAGGCAGCCAGATCCAATTGGCCATCCTCCTCGTCTTCCGCTTTGCGCTTCTTTGAGCCAGTCTCAGGGGAGTCGCTTTGCAAATGAGCTTTGGCAAAGGCTTTTGGAATAGCAGAGTCTGACGTTGCTGGTGCTGGTGGAGCTCCTGGCGAAGATAACAGAGTTGTCACAGGTGTGATGATATGTGGAACCGCACCTCCTGGCGATTGAGCGGGTGGGCCTTTTTGCAAGTGCGGGGGCGGTGGCGTAGCTGGCGGGGCCGGATCAAGGGCTGCCTTGAAGGGTACAAGGCTCTGCGGTGCCGGCTGAGGGGCACCGTGCTTTGAAAAGGCTGAGGGGCTTTTCCAGATCTGAGAGGTCTTAGCACTGTCTGTGCTCCTCGTGGCCCGAGCTCGTCCAATTCTCGAGAACAGGACAGCAGAAGGATTCCAGCAGTGAAGGATCGGCCCTTCGTCAATCACGCCCTGTCTCAGATGTACTGGGAGATCGAAGAAAGCTTGTCGCGCAGCACTGTCAATGCCGTTTTGGCCAAGGAAAGCCTCGTGCGGATCTGATGCTTGAGGCGGCTTCAGTGTCCCAGCCCAAGCCATCCCAACCAGCGAGACCAAATGCTGCGACGGGTTTCGGCCTCCTTGTCCGACTTCATGATCATGTGCAAGCACAGCAAGCTGCAGCTCTGGCGGAAGCTGGCGCAAAGCTTCACGACCTCCTGCGTCTATTCCATGCCGGCGCAGGAACGTTTCAAGTACGTCGCTGCCTGTTGAAGGTGCTGAAGGTGCTGAAGGTGTTGGAGGTGGAGGCGGTGGAGGTGGCTGGGGGAGCTGTGGGGGCTGGGGGGGCTGGGGAGGCTGTGGAGGTGGCGCTTGCCACCTGGCATCATGCTCTCTGTTGTGCTCAGTGTCTTTATCTTTAAGGTAACGGACGCGGGACATCAAGTACGCACTGGGATTGCGACACATGGAAAAGTCCTCCTGCATCAGTTGACGCTGCTGGTCCTCCCTGAGTTCCAAAAAGCTGCGGCAGGCATCGCCGTCGAAGGGGGCACTCTGCAAGAAAAAGTCCCGGTCAGCTGCTGACTGCCCTGACTTTATGCGGTTGATGCCTCAGCCAATGAACTAACACCTAAACAATCGCAGGCGCGTGATATACTCCGTTTGAGCCAAGCGGCGTGACAGAAGGACAGCTGAAGGCTTCTGAGCGCCCGTCAGCGGCGTAGAAACCACAGCCTTCTGTTGCTCTGCTGGCAGCTCGCGCAGGATGGATGCAACCGCTTCACTGATGCTGTTTGACTTGAGGAAGTCCGTGACAGAGTCCGAAGAGTCAGAAGTTTCTGCTGCAGGATGCCGGTCTTCTGGCGGAGCACTGAGAACCTCGGTGATGCGTTCCATGAGTGCATCGTATGCATTCTGCACCTGAGGTAGCGGTCGTTGAATCACCATTCTTTGCTGTACAGGTGAAAGCTCCCACAAGCTCTGGCAGATCTCCGGATTGATGCCATGGTGTTGTAGAAAGAGCTCCACTGCAGAGTTGTGGTCATGATCAGTCCCCGGCGGGGGCGTTCGATTGCGCATTCCTAGCTTCACGCGCTTAATCCGCGAAAGCAGGACGGCCGAGGGATTGGCAGCTCTTGTGATGCTTCCAGCAATGACCTCACGCTGCTGCTCCACTGGCAGCGACTTGAGGGCTGCAGCAGCAGCCTCATCAATAAAGGATCGCGAGATGAACTCAGCAATGTCATCCTCCACATCGCTTTTCTCTGCCATGTCTTGTTGATTGGCTCAGTGACAACCAAATGCTTCTCAGTGTTCCTGGCTGGTCATTGAGCTCATGGATGAAATTGTACTTTGAGTGAGCTAGCGCACGGGGTTTGGCGATGGAATTTCTTAACTGCTCAAGCTTGAGCCAAGCAGGCTGCAGCTTCAGATAAAAGTTCAGATAAAAGCAGTGCGACTCTGGCGTGCGTCGCCACCGGGTCAATCCCCGCAAGCAACCGTCAAGCACTTGATTGAAAAAATGGCAAAGCATCCGCCTGTGAAGCGTAAATGAGGTCAGGCGCCCAGTAGTCCACGTCATCATCGGCCATGTGAAGGGGCTGCAAGTCCTTGTGCCTGACAGCTGAAGCTATAGGTTGATCCTGGCTTCACGCGTGGCCCAACCCATTCACTGCATTGGCTTTAGCCTTCACCCCTTCTTCATACCAAGCATTCGTTAACAGAAAGCTCAAGAAACGACCTCGACATGTACCTGCCGTTGCATCTCATTGACACTGCACACACGCAGGTGCATGTGCAAGTTCATGTGGGTATGGCATGCATATGTACATACGAATAGGTGCGCGTGACAATGAATATGCACGCGATATATACATATATATATATGTAGCTATAGATATATAGATCATCAGATGTCTACATGTGTACGTATACGAAAACATACATATTTAACCATACACATATACATATACATATTAGGTATGGATATCTTACAATATCTCATACGGGAGTTTCCATGAATGAGAAGCCCCACACATAGACCCCATTCTCACATAACCCTCACTACAGGACACCCAAAACAAAGACTCCAATTGTTGGAAACCCTTATCCACTGCAGAATCCCATAGGATTCTCCATTATACCCATGTGTATATGTGTATCGAGATATATGTATGTGTATATGTATATGTATATTTATATATATATACATCCCTACTAAACCCTGAACCCTACACCCCAAATCCCAAAGCGTGAACCCTAAACTCTAAAACCCTAAACCCCAAACCCTGAAGCCTGAACCCTAAACCCTAAACCCCGAAACCCCAAATCCGAAGCCCTAAAACACCAAATCCCAAACCCCAAAACCCTCATACCCTAAACCCCTGCTTGTAAAAGCCTGAGCTGGCCCATGGCTGTACCGCGAGGGTACGCAAAGTCATCTGGGGCTATGACCTCGGGAGCCGGCCCCCTGAAATGAGTTTTGTTGATCAGGGTTTAGGGTTCTGGTTTTTTTTTGAAGCCAGCGGACTTTTAGGGTTTGGGGTTTGGAGTTTAGGGTTTGCTGTGAGTTACCGTGCAGGCAGTCATGATTAGCGTCAAGGACTCTTCAAGTGCATGGCTGCATGTGAGGTGCTGCCATGGCCTGACTGTAGAGGGCCATCTAACACAATCACCCACCCCACGCCCTATTGGGGTTTAGACCTAAAGTCAGTTAAATGCAGTTCATTTGGTGTTTTCATTGTTGAAGGGATCTTAAACCTTCTTTCAGGCCCCCTGAACAATGGTCAAAGGTTTTCACCTGAGGCCCTAGCAAGGAGGGTTGCAGGAAAGCCCTACAAGACTTGGGCGTGGAAGACTTTGAGAAAGGCTCTGCCATCCCTAAGGCCTGGCCTTTCAAGGGTTCTGGCGCTCTCTGAGAGGCCTGGAAGGATTGGCCTGCCTGGAAGGCCTGGGAGCTAGAGGCCTTGGGAGGGTCTCCTGGTGAAAGGCCCTGGCATCCCTTTTTTGTGCTTTTGTTGGGGGGCTGACAAATTTTGAGCCGGTGCCCCTCGCCTCCAGATTCTCAGGCACCCGGGTCCCGAAATTCGCTCGCAGAGGAGGGCGTGGACCCGCCAGGACCCACCCGGGAGAACCGCTGGAAAATAAGGTATTTAGTATTTACTTTATTAAGCAACCAGTACTGGTTGTCTGGGTTTGGGGTTCGGGCTCTGGGTTNNTTGAGACTCGCGGTGGCGTCGGTGGGTACCACTGGGCCGGGGTTGCAAGGAGAACTCCTTCCGGTTCCGGGTCTGACGTGGGTGCTACCGCAACTGTGGCTGTGCTGAGGCGGGGCTAGGTGGAGACCTTTCGCCATCGCGGGCGAGGGGCTAAGGCGCCCACCATAGACAGGTGGGCGGCATAGGCCTTGAGTTTAGGGTGTAGGGCTTAGGGTTTAGGGGCTCTAGGGATGCTACGGGTTATATGGAGTTTAGGCAAGGATATATTATAGGGCTTCAGGTTTCCGAACTCAGGGGCACCGTGTTTTGGGAATCCACTTGGGAACGTCGACATCCCCCCTTTTCCTACCCCTGATATGATTCTTTCATGGGAATGTTCTTCATTTTTTGCAAGTTCCGCTACGAGTAGGGCAGGTGGTGACTGATGCCTTTCTAGGTCGTGCTTTGCTTGCTTGAAGCTAGACCAGCCAGGTCACCAGAAAACCCATGCGGCAGATCATGCGGCATATTCGCATGTTGTCCCAACCTGAGATCAATGATCTTCAGAGTCTCAGAACATGTACATAATTCTTGCCAGGCATCTTCTCGTCGGTTTGGTCTGTCATGGAATTTCTGGTAAGTCCGATCTCCAATTAGCAGGGCCGGATTACCGGCTCCGATGCAAACGAAGAGCTGCATCCGCCGGAACCGTGAGCATAGATCAAAGTACCTCAACCACAGCCAGAGAAGCACTCCGCTGCTTGTTGCCATACTGCAGAACAGTGATTCTGCAGCCCGCCTCGTAGGTTGGCGAACTTCAAGCGCGACAAGAAGGAAAAATTGTTTCTCTTGCGAATTAATGCCAGCTTCCAGCGCATCTGCACCTCCGGATTGTGGCAAGCTGAAGACTTGTCTTTTTAAATCTTGTTAAATGTTCACGCAGCCACTCCTCAGAAGAGGATCGCTTGCAGAGCCCCTTGAAAGTGAAGCATACTTACAGCAAACTGCAAGGGACTTGATCTTTTGAAATTCTTCCTTGATTGGAATGTGAGTTTCTATGCGGGTAGAAGATCCTGATACACCCACCGAACACACTTCTGGAATCAAGACACCCATGCCACAGATGGCTCTGTATAAGGCATACTTAGGAGTACTTCCGTGACCGCACGACGGCCAATGGGGGGTGTAGCATGGGATGGCATGAGCAAGCGCAATCAGGCTGACTCATGTCCCAACTTCGTGTGCATGCACATACTATTTCAGGCTTTGTTGCGCGGCCTGCCTTCACGAGCATTTTCAAGGAATAGTCGTTGTTGTGGAATCGAGCGTGCAAAACCTAGAGAAGGACGCTTTTACAAGCTTTACACCAGAGGAACACTGAGATGAATGTAAGTGTTTCTTCTCGCACTGATGCCGACGCGAAGCGGAGGCATTGTCTCTACACAGCTCCAAGGACATCTCAAAAGATGCTAGACTCGGCTAGACTCTGCGGCCAAAGGAGTCAAGTAACTTCTTTTCGAGAATGCGGAACCTTCTGATTTTTCCGCAGCTCCTGATACCGCCTGCACAGGGCAATCGCTGGCAAACTCTTCTAAGTTGAGATGGAATAAGCTCTTTGGTCGGGAAGGAGGGCGCCTGTGAAGCAGCTGTCGCACGTGCCACACCCTCCCGAACCACATCCTCAGTCAAAATGCCTGTCGGCTGTGTGTCCAAAAAGAGCCATGAGTCAGCTTCTTGCAAAAGCTGAAACAAGGCCATGACCTGAAGACATCCCTACTCCTGCTCCAATGTGATGTGATTCCTATATCGTAGACTACATGAATCTATTCATCGCAAGCTCAGTTTGAGAAGTTCAATCAAGTCTGTGCAACTTGAGACAGGCACTGCTTGCTGGGATCTCCTTTGTCGTCCATGTTGGCCTGCGTCCACTGTGAGCAGCACAAGCAACTGAAAAACGCAAGAGCCGGAAAGCTTCACACATGCCTACCAAACAAAAACAAAGAAGCAGCCGCCTACAGTTGACAGGTCAAGTAGAGTCCAGGCAACCAGCGTGTGATCAGTGCAAAGCCGTGGACGCAACCTCCAGGCCCAATTCTTGGACGCCGGAGTGTGGCATGAACAGCAGCGTGTTGTCAAGAAGAGAAGGCAACCTGACTCTTTCCACCGGTAAGAAAGACAAATTCTTCACACACGCCTGATGCAGGATGTCCGCACAAGCTGCCATGAGGGGCCATGAAATGGAAGCCGAGTATCGTAGGCATCTCCAAGTCTGGCGAGTTCGGGATCCTTAGCTGCCATTCCGTCCAGTGGAGAGTGGAGAAATTGCGCTTCGGATCCCTTGAAAACAGGCTCGGTAGTAGCATGGAAATGCCCATAGTGAGACGCAAGCTGATCCATACACACAACTGTGCTGCTGGTTGCACCAGAGGACACTTTGGCTCTCCAGAGAGTTGGGTTAAAATTCATGATGTCCCCGATCTCTGCATCCTTCGGAAATTCAAGCAGCATCTTTCTGCATGCAAACGTCAAGGCGCGTATTGTTCTGCAAGGCCTTCACACGCTGACAACAAACACACCGCTCCTCTCGAGCTTCCCCGGCACATGATGCTCCCATCTCCTCGTCTGAGGCAGGGTCTGTTTGATTTTGAGCTACAAGCACCGTAAATGTAATGATACATGCAGAGCAAAGAAGCCCGGCTGTTACGACTTCAGCCTGGCTGCTGCCTCCGCTGGGCGTGGGAATCAACATGCTCCCTCTGGCTTGAGCTTGCACGGCGACAGAGGTACTTCTTCCATAGATCACGGCCACAAGGGCACAAACTAGGTATCGCCATACATGAGGTCTACGACACCGGGGTACGGGATCATGATCCATTGTAACTACAGAGGGAATAACAGCAGCTGATCGGAGAAAAGGAGTCTCTGTCTCATGCAAATCTGCATCTGAGCTCACCGCTGAACAGAGCCTAGGAAGCAGCTGCAAGCAGAGACACATCTTTTGGTTGGGAGAGATGTTAGCTCTTCGACCGACTTGGCACAGAAGCTCATGAGCACTGTGAAGCTGGACAACTTTTCAGCTTTCAGCCCTGGCATGGCTGCTTACACCCCGTCCTAAAAGCAAATCTGCCTGCCATGCTTGAAAAGGCCCTCTGTACAAACTCCTACTGCACTGGAGGCAAAGTGAGCAGGAAAGCATGCAGGTCTTCACTGGTCTTCGTATCACATTGGAAACACATCGTAGTTCTGCACCGGGATCGATGGAGGCTGAAACTGCAGCTTCTCGTTGATTTGTGGGCAAATGTTCTGAGTCAGCGGAGCCTTCATGAAGTCCATTGCGCTCTCTGACAGCCTGCCTTCCACTACACATGCCTGGTAAAGTTCTTCCAGGTCATCAATGGCAGCGAGCACGTCCTGCACACTTGGCACGCCGCCGGTGATGACGTTGTACATGACAACTGTGACAGTGACGTGCTCTGAGGGGTGCCTCACTGGGGACTGGTGGCCACACGTCGAACTCTGATCCGCGAGACACACGAGCAGCACTGCTATGGCCAACAGGCTCTGCAAAGTCCACACCACGGAAAGTGTCTTGCTCTGTATAGAAGTCTTCGTCCATCTCGCACTTATCCATAGAAAACACCATGCTCCAATCTGACAGACTTGGGTCACTGGGCTCTCTGGGTAAGGCCTGGCTGAGCGGAACCTGGATGGTCATCAAAGCGTTGAAGCGTTGACCTCGTGTCACCGTGATCACCGCGCTGAGGGGCCCTGCGGGGTCTCTTGGGCTCACACTCCGTGAAACCTTCTGAAATCGTTATGCAAATTCATCGATCGCTGGAACAACTTACAAAGTCGGCCCTCGTTACCACACTAGCAACCCCTTCCCTGCAAGCATCAGCACATGCAGTCTCGTGTCCCATGGCTCGGATACTAAGGACGCTGGAGGTTGCCCTCCGCTGTGCCAGGGCCAGCGCGCGCTCCTCAGCGCTCTCCTTGGCTCTTCAAAAGATATAGACGTAGGGATTACACAGGGTAACAGAAGGGTTGTGAGGCCTCCGATTTGGCCAGGACTCCCTCTGCTCTCCTCCAACACGGTGGTCTGTCTCTGCAGCCTCAAGCCAGTAACGGTGAATCATGCCCTCAGCATCCACGGCGTGGTGAAAAAGTCTCTTTGCTCCAGTACCATCCTGCTGAACAGCCATTCCTCAGCCACATCACCGCATCATGAAGGGCACCCCATTCCACGGGTTTATTCAGTGCTCATACCCGGCCTTGCGTTGTACAGAGAAGAACGAGGTTCCGTGGGGTGGCATCGTCTAGGGTGTTGTAGTTGTACGCTTCTGCGACGAACTCGCATGAACCAGATTGTTCTACCTTGATTTGTGATGACGCGAAATCGCCACAAGATGATGGTGCAAAACACTGCAGCGCGAGTGCAAGACAAAAGCCAGAAGCCCTTACAAAGAAATGTCTTGGTAGAGTCGTTCCTTGGGCAATACGCGAAACCTGAGCATCCAGGCATATCCAGGCCGCGGGAAGGAAGGTTGTCTGGAAGCGAATTGAACACTGCGAGTCCAGATGAGCACATGATAAATCACTTTTGCAGTCCAGGCCGGAGTAGCTGCCGTACTGGCCTTTGGTGATTGTGGCAGAATCTCTCCAAGCAATTTAAAAAAGGACACTCAGCAAGAGGACACTGAACACTTCACACTGCACGCTTCACTCCTTGCTTTACAGATTTCGATGTTAGAACGGTAGAGGAGTTTGCAGTCCGTGAATATGTTTACTTCTTAGCTGCCAAGCTCTTGAAGAATCGACCGCAATGTCACGGGCTGCAGAGGATTTGATGCTTTTGATGCGACCACAGCCACATCCTGAGGAAGTCCAGCCGCGAAAAGAAAATTGCGATGTCTTCCTACTGAAGAGAGGAGAGAACGGAATCCACAGAGTGCAAAACAGAGTGCAAAGAGCCGAAAATCTTCAGAGCTGACAACCTCAGTTTCACATGCAGCTGCAGTCTACAGCGCGGACGTTCCGACATTCCCTGCACTATCACACGAAGCCAGGCCACGCCCACTCGCTCATTCCAGTTTTCGCTTCGCACAGTAAAGAGCCGTTTCCCGCTCTTGCTCTTCAAGCAGGTGTCGGTGACGTTCGCCCCCCAGGAGGACAAAGAGCCATCTGCGGTACCACGGCTCACATCGTCCCAAGACACCACCTGCTAGGGTTTAGGGTTTAGGGTTTAGGGGTTTAGGGTTTAATGTAAGATCCAGGATGCAGGTAATCTCGGCCTTTAGATTCAAGATGACTGCTGCTGGACCTTGACCAACTCTTGTTGCCATTGCTGTTCCTTCTTGTGCTACTTTTGCTGCTGTTGTTACTTGTCTGATAGAGGGGCTCGCGAGGGACCATCTGCCCGCATGGCAGAATCCTGGATCAAGAAGTTTCCTTACAGTTGAATCTGAAAAAGATCTTCCAGAAGTTCCTAATTCCTCCTATGGGTTATCAGAGCCAAAGTAATCTACTGTAAACTATGCTGTGATTTCTCGCATGACTTGCAAGAAGACTTCATGAGATTGCCTCACTGGAGTTTGAACACGCTTGCCTGGCATTGGTAATTCGCATAGTGCCCCCCCTGACATTGACAGGCGGCATTGATGGCAGTGATGATCCTCAGCCACGCATCCAGTCGCCAGCTCGTGTTAGTCTACCCGGTCCTAATGCGTCTTTCACGGGGTATCTATCATCCATCTTTTGCCCAAGCATGATCTACGCTTCTCCAGATTTAGGAGAGGCTCGTTTCCAGGCTGGCCATCCCAATCCTACTGCCGCGCTATGTGAGCCTCAGTGGCCTGGCTGCGGTGCATGCAGCATGTATTCGAGAACCTGACGTCTGAAGTCTGCCTCCTGGCAACACTGAGTCCAACCCTTGCAGTTACAGCCGGACTGCACAACATATTGCGAGGTCCCTGCAGCAGGATCAGGCTCTCCGCGACTTGGGCAACAAATGCCCATGTCGTCCTGAGCTCACTTGTGACAGGCTGGGCTGGATATCTTATGGCTGGATGGTCAGAAGCCTGGAAGCAATGTGAATTTTCTGGCAAATGCAACAAGCTTCGGCAACCTGACCTGGCGGGGCCTGCGCAAGAAATACCCTTGAGACGGCAGGCAAGGTCCTAAGTCAAAAATAGCGTAAGAGGATTACGCTGTTGACCCACTTGGATGGTCATCATCAAACATGAGCAACAGCTAAAACCAGACTGTCCTGATGACGCCAGGTAGCGCAGCCTTGCTAGGCCTATTCGTGAAGAGCGGAATCTGGCGTCGGAATCTTCGGCAGAGGCTGCCAATCTGTTTTTTTAAGTTCAATGGTGATCCGCATCCCGACTGCCAGCGCTGGCACCGATACTCGGGACCACTTTCAAAACGCCAAACCTTAGTTTGCCTGCAACACGAACCGCTTGGGACCGTTGAGCCCACGCTGCGGCTGGATGGCTGGGAGTGCGGCATGGGTGAGACTGTCAGCTCACAGTCACGGGCTGTTGCCCGATTGCTCTGACATTAAAGACCTCCCGATGACTGGAATTGGAAGACGAGCGCCAAAGCTCCAGGAGGCTCCTCAGATCCTGAACAAGATGAAGGGCTCCTACTAGGCTTTCACCCATCTCAGGGCCAAGGAGCTGACCAAGTCCTAAAAGCCCGCAGATTGGGCGAGCTGATCACAGGAAAGTTGCGTAAACGGGGGGGCTGACGTTCTTTCTTCGCACATCATATCTTAAATTGCCACTTGCGACATTCAAAAAGTACTTTAGCGTGTGCTGCTTTGACACGTCCATGCCAAACATCATTAGTACCGAATATCGTAACGCCACCCCCCACTGCACTTCTCATTTGTTGGAACTGCACTGCCAGCACGGCTATTCTTCCAGGCAGCACAATCTCTGCATCGTGTTGATGGGAGCGTACAGAGTTCATGAAGGTACAAGCATGCTTAGTTTGCTACAAATCATGCACATTTTCTCATATTGCTACCGGCTACCGCTTTGCAAATTGAAGGGAAATTAAACTCAGCTCAGCCATTCTCCCTTTGCAGCTAAACAAACGAATGCCTCGCGGACTGGCATCCATCTTTGAGCTTCGCGGGAGTTGACGGCTTCGACATAATTAAGTTGGTATGCCTTTCGCCGCAAACTGGAGATCAGTCCAGCTCTAAAGCCTAACTTGCTAGGTGTTCGCAGTTTCCACAAAGCCTGATGGTGCCAAAATCCTAGACATATCCGCTTGGGACTGCGCTTCAAGCCTTCGGGCATGAAGGTTCTGAAGTTTGATGCACAATGGGATCTTGAAGCAGCTTGTGTCCTTGCGGGTGCTAAGGGCTTCATTCAAAACTGGGAAAAGCATAGATCTTCAAACTACGCCCTGGAGATCTCCTGTCGGGGCATTCGTAAGATTTTGCTTTGAATTGCGTGCCCCAAGTAGGTGATCTCCGAACCCACGTCTGAGCAAACCCTTTATCAGGGAGCTTGCCGGGCGGGCAGGCTGCGATTTGAGGAACATATGCGGCAAAAGCTCTCCCTCCTGCTCGCCTGAGCACGCATTTCTGATGTCCAGCTGGATACAATACCTTCACATACCTCCACGTGAACGCGTTCAACCTGAATAAGGCTTCTCATCTCGGTCTGCATGGGCCGGAGGAGCAGCCAGGAGAGCCCAGGGCAAGCGTACTTCACGTGAAACCGAAGGCCACTTTCAGGGCATTGACCAACAAATAACCTCTCAGCCAGACAAGATAGCAGCACATACCTGCCCGGGAATCTAGAAGGCGGTTTGTTTTGTTTGTATGCATCTCTTTGACGCACTGAATTTCAGCACAGACTCGATAATGCAGCGAACAAAGCAGAAGTCTTAGCACTTTCTAGCACATGCCCCCTTGAAACTTTGACATCCGTGCTTCCTCGGATTTCCTCGGCTGGTACAAGCCTTAACCATCTCGCTCGCACCTCACCTCAACTCTGCGGCTCATTACAATGAACCAACCCTTGCCTCTGGCAAACTTGAACTCACCGAATTTGATGCTAAGCTGCTACTTTGTGACAGCCCCCTGCCTGGTATCAGGTGACGCAATCCACGTAGCTCACTTCAGAAGCGTTCTCCTTCAATGCCGACGCATGACGATTTCCAGGCTAAACAAAAATGCCGTGGAATCTGGTGGCAACTTATATCCATCCAGGCGTGCTGTATTCAGGGGGCGTCTCGCAATGCATCTAAGCGGCCGAAACAACTCGAGAACTTCTTTGGTTGTGACCATTGAGCTGCTCCTGGCAATCAGCCTATTTGTGGTTGGAAACATGGTAGTACTGCAGCAGCTGTGGCAGCTGCGGCAACGCCCATCCTAGCACTAGCAATCATTCGGGTATCAGAACTGTAGTAACTGAACATGTGTATATCAAATGGTCGAAGCCTTTGGACTAGGACTTGGCTGCTACCACTTTCGCACGTGTCTGTTGTTGTTGTTGTTGTTGCTGCTGCTGCTGCTGATGCTGCTGCTGCTGCTGGTGCTCGTGCCGGTGCGGTTGCAACGCCTTTGCACGTCTGCCAGGTCACTCAAACCGCCAACAATGAAAGCTGATAGTGTGGATTTTGCCTGGAAGATTTAGGGTTTATCCTTCTGGATTTAATCTCTTCACAAACCAGCGATCTGATTGCTTGAATTGTAACCGGCAGTTATGATGAGAAGTCTTCCCAGGCGAGGACACGTTTTGCCTCCGCCGGTTCTTCGATCTGCTGAAAGTTCGTGAATTCAGCGTTGTGCACAATGATGCCTGCAAGACACTGTAACAGCCCAAACTAGCGCAATGCCCCAGGCTCAACTGTGTTCAAGAGAAAGAACCAGCCTGCTTGAGTCACAGCAAGCTGTCGGAGAAGTTTCCGAACGTCTGTGACCGTGGACAGGATTTGATGAGTCCTGGGATGAATTTATAGTAGTTTCCATCTTCTTTTCCATTATCCCCATATAGCCCCAATATTATACCCTACAATCCCTATATAATCCCTATATAACCCTATAATCCCAGCAGTCTTGCAAAAGCTCTGAAGGCGGAGGAGTGTCTCTGTGAGCGGGTGGGGCTTGGGCCTTACAATCCTTCTCACGCTGACCGCCGTTCACTCAAGCCTTGCTCCAACGAAACAAACCTTATACCCTTTCGAAGGCCAGCTGGCTCGTGAGTACGCAGCTTGTACAGCTGGTCCACGAACTCATCAGGGCCTGAGATTTGCTGGGATGTTGCAGTCCGCAGTTGTACATGTGAAGCTTGATAGAATGCTGACAGTGATACGCTCCAGACAATTCAACAAATGCAAGAGTCAAGAGCAGCGTGCCGGAGCAAGCGAAAAAGACAAAGATCAGACTTGTAAAAGACGTGCAACTGAGCGAGCTTGCCTTGACAATACCCTGCCAGGCAGACAAGTGGCTGATGTCGCCACTATCATCCTTGTCCAATACAGACAGAACCCACTCCAGGTCCCGTCCACCGATACCTCAGGGCAGGCGAGGGCGTTCGTGCACCGTTGCGTGCTCACATTCAGAATTAAATAATTTCGGAAAATTTGGTGCGCCTTCTGATCGTTGCGAGGGAATAGTATTAATAAACAAGCAACAAAACATACACAAGAATATGTTAGTCACGGATGCCACTCCAGCAATGCAGCAATGGAAATGCATGCCACAGGGCATTCGCCAAACCAGCAGTACTCGCATGTACTCAACATGGCTCCAGCTATGCAGGAAAGCCACAAGCGCACAATGTTGCTTGACAGGACACGCCAGATCTGAATCACTGGCTTGCGAAAAGACGCATGGAACCCTCATAATCTAAAGGTCTCTGATTGCATGCATGTACCTGTAAGATTTACAGCCGCGCTCAAGCCTGGTGCAAACCAGACGGGATGCAAACACATACCAAGTTGACTGCTCTACCTGTGGCTGCAGCCCAAGTTACCCATGCCTTTTAAGCAATCGGCGAAGTCCTGATCTTGTTCGAAACCTGCACGGCGTGGAAACTACAAGGCATGCTACCCTGCATCCGAACTCGCGGGTAGCTGGTTCATTGCACGTCGGCATAAGGCATGCCCCACAAAAACTTGAGAAACAAAACCATGACCAACGAAAGACGGCAAGCGCACAATCAGGGAGCCATGAATCGAACCCGTGCTACGAACCCCTAACGTGCAAAACAAATCAATATGATCTGTCGTGCGCCTGCGACAAACAAAGGAACCTCACGTAATCAGGTGGTCATGAATTGAATTGCTTTGATGGAAACGATATGAAACGATGATCAAACACTGCAACGCATGAGGATTATGGGGAGTCGAGGACGAAGAGGGGGACGAGGATGATGGGGGCAGCAGCAATGGCAGCAG